GGAGAGTGCAGCTCCCATTCCCGCTCCTTCTGCTCCTGGCCTGATGGAACATACCAGAACACAGAGGCACAAGTGGAGTAAGGGCAGGGAGCTCAGTCAGGAGCCGTCAGTTCAGCAAAAAGCTCACTGCCCGGTTTTTCCAACACTCCACAACGCCTCTTCCTCAAACTGCACCGTGCCATTTCATGTTGCCTGCCATGCCCAGCGCAGCCCGGCCACATCCAGACCTTTCAATCCTTACAGAGCTCAGCTGACTCCTGGATCAGTTAGGTGCCTTCCAGTCATACCTCAGGGCAAGAGATGACTTTTAATCGAGCACTGTGATTGTGCTCAGTTCTCACCCAAACGAGAACATGGACAGTCCCCCGCGACTGGAAACAAGCTTTCCCCTGCAGGCGCCAGCTGCAGCCACACTCACTTTGGCCATACCGGTGTTCCTCCACGTTCCATACCAGGCTCTGGTGATAGCCCCGCGACAGCTTCTCCCCCACGACCTCCAGCTGCCGAAACCCCCAGTCAGGGAGGTGTGCCCCGCTCAGCTAGCAAAAGTGAGGAAGACAAGGGACATGATGGGAAAGCTGTCTCCCACTCCTGCTCAGGCCCTGCCCCGGTCCCTGTTTCACAGATCTTCACTTTAGGAAACCTCCCTCCCTCACTGTAAAATAAACATGGCAGTGATTAAATCAAAATTTCTGCCTGGTAAGAGCCAGTTTAGCCTGAAGAGTACAGTGAATGGACTTTGTGAGTCCACAGCTTAAGACAAGCCGGGCCAAAAAGCTGTGCCATTCACCTTCAAGACAGCAGAAGTGTTCACGTGCACAAAGCGAACCTCGGACAAGATGGTCTTCCACGACTCCTCATCCGATTCTCTGTTTACAATTTCCTGCAAAAACAGATCCTGTCAATCATTTCATTCCTTTTCAAATTTCCTTAGATGTGAAACTAAAGAACAGTCACCAAAACAATGAAATTAACATGGGTCTCAGATAAGAGGATGTGTCTCCAAGCAAGGGGAGCTACACGGGGCTGATCCTGGATGGTGCCGTGGCCTTCCTCCAGACACCCATGGCACACACTGGTCCCAGGGCCCGTGGCAAGCACACTGTCCTCCTTTCAAAGGCTGCACAAGAGATGCTTCCAGCGGAGACTTAAAAGCCTGATGTCCTTCTGTGCCTTCCTGCAATGTCTATTCACTGGGAGGGGAGGGCTCAGTTGGCTAAAAGTGAGCCCTTCTTAGTCCTTATCTGGCAAATACAAAGATGGCTCCAATGAAGGCTATACCCTGTCCCTGAGAGACGAACCCTAGGGAGGGGACTCCTCGCACTGGGTAATAAGAAAGCTAACTGACATCTGAAGAACACTTTGTGTCATCACATCCTAACCCACTGGAGCCTCACGATGGCCCTGTGAGGTCACATAGTTTTCCCATTTTATTGATGAAAATCAGACAACCTAAGATGTGGAACAGGACCCAACAGGCCGACTTGTGATGCATGCTGCTCCTCTTTCCTTGGTGCTGAAATGGGGAGAGGAGGGGAGGTTAGGGGAAGGGAGGGGAGGAGGAAGAGGAGAGAAGAGGCATCAGCAAGGCAGCCAGCAAGATGGCAGAAAAGGAAGCCAGGCACAGGGCTGGGAGCAAGTGAGACTCAGTAGAATTTCCATCAGGGAGGGCTCCCCCTAAGGGCGGGTGCTCGGAACTCCTATCAAGGCCAGACTACAAAGGCAAGGATGGAACAGAACACAGACACATGTGGCACAAGAGAAGGCCAAGGGGCAGAGGTGCTGCCTGTGATAAAAATAGAAACTCAGTGCCCGAAGACCCCTAGCTTGCTGAGAGGGCTGCCGGCAGCACGCTGCATTCACGCTATCCAGAACCAAGTTGGAATCAGAAGCTGGAAGGACAGCGTGGTTCTCATTATGGAAATAACCCCAGGGCAACTGCTGTGCGTACAAGGCAGGGGCTGTATTTAGTGCTCGTCCTTAGACTCACAGCCTGTGAGTGGCCTGGTAATACTTCCTTCACACCGCACCGCCTTTCCCAGAGGCCCAATTCTGTAAGGGGAGCATGTTCCCTGGTCACTCCGAAGAGAAGCAACCACAGGCCCAGCTGCCTGGGTAACCCTGACAAGAGGGAACTTGTTAATGTGCAGCTGAGCACTTACTGAGAGGCTCCCCCTGGGTTGTGGGCTGTGGGGTGTGGGGTGGCTGGAGCTTACGTCCCACGTGCTTGGGAGCTGGTCCCAAGGGTGAACAGAGGGACAAGTCAGGGAGAACCTTCACCTGGCACCACCACATGAGCACACAAAGCCCAACACTGAGCAAACACTAGGCAGTTAGTCTTTGCGTAACTCACTCCCGACACAGGAAGCCACTCAGATTCCCAGGTTCCGCAGAGAAGGAACAGTTTGTTCCCTGGGAAACATCAAGGACTTTTTTCATGAAAGGTACTTACCTACTTTTCCATCTGAATCAGAATTACTCTGAAGGGCAGTTTTGTGTGTTCTGTCAGAAAGCACGTAGCCCTGGCTGGCAGCCCTGGCCGTCCAGCACCCAGCACGGCGCGTCACTCACCAGTCTCCAGAGGCTCTGTGCAGGCATGGAGATGTTGTAGTCAATGTAGCAGGAGACCTCCTGCGAGTGCGGGCTCAGCGGGGCTGCGACATCATGCCTGGACAACCAACAAAAACGGAGCGTTGGGGGCATCCTTCCAAGTCCTCTGAGAGGCAGTGACGGTTTCTTTCACAGGGAGAAAGGCCGCTTTTCAGAAACAAAGCCAGCTCAGCCAGAAGGAAGGACACTGGGCCCCGTTAGTCACACCTACTCAAACACTGAAGAGGCGGAAACTGCATTGATCACACTTCCAGGGGAAAAGCACACACTGATGAGGAATCTTACCGGAGGTACCACCCTTCCACTGTGTGGACGATGGAACCAAGCCCCAAGGGATGGGATCACTACCATAAGAGATGGAGTTTGCTTGTGTCCCAGAACTGCCTGATGCAGAGCCATGTGCCGGCTGGCTGGTGGCACCCTGAACACAGTGCCATGCCCAGCTGGCCTGGGACCCAGCGATGTGACACTGGAAGACATAGCTGCCCTTGGCGGTGTCAACTTCAATGTTCAGCAGCACCCGTTTCCCTCCCTCAGCAATCACGTTTTGTCACACTGTGCACCAGGCACCATCTGGAGCTGCAGACCCAGCAGTGGACAGAAAGACAAAGCCTCCCACCCCTTTGGGGAGAGCAGAGCACCAGGCTATGTGAGTGCCACAAGTAAAAACAAACAGGTGGGGGAAAGCACCTGGAGACACTTCTCAATGAGCTGACGTCTTGGTTGACACCTGAATAAACGAGTGAGTGGCTATACAGAGATCTGGGCCCAAGAACATTCCAGCAGAAGGAGCAAGCGTGAAGGTCCGAGGGGACACACTCGGTCATTTGGGGGGCTCACAGGGAGGCCAGGGTGACAGGGTGGAGGCTGTCGGGAGTCACCAGGAGGACCCTGGGGTCCCCTCCCCTGTGCTGGCAGGGCACGGCAGTAGCCGTGGTTTGCTCTGCACATGGACGGAGAGCGCAGCAGGAGGGAGGATGCGCGGAGCACTCACGTGTTCAGGAGGCGAGTGGTCATGCCATGGACCAGCTGCACGATGTCCCCGTGCCGCACGGGCCTTGGAGGGTTACTCACCACCAGCTGGTGCCTATGGAGACACGGCACTGTGGGGACCCCAGCCTCACTGGGAGGGGCCAGAGCTCTGAACTCCACACCAGAGACATGTGGGATTCTGCAGCCTCCCAGTCAGTTGTCCCTAATGAGGTGAATCCGTACAAAACAAAGCACGTACATTTCATTTAACTCTTTTCTGAAGGCTGAGGTCACTTTCCATACTTCCAAAAGAGATTCCTTTTGCCTCTGTCACACTCAAGTTGCTCTGTGTTTGTCTACGAATGCTACGGTGACAAATGTACCGAGCCTGCCTGGAACATCTTCTGACAGACAGATTCTTGGTTCTGTAATCACTCAGTAACTGTACATGGAGCACCTGTGAGGTCCCAGACTCTGCACTGGGTGCTGCGCATCTGGCTGCACAAGGCACATGGGGACCTGGCGCCCACACAGTACCACAGCAAGTGGAAAACACGTGATGACTCAGCAACTGCACAACAGTGGGCAGTGACAGAGGGGAGGGTGGCGGAGGAGCCCCCCGGGCACTGGCGGTGGGTGCTGTGAGCACACCAGGCAGGCTGCAGAGGGAGCCACAGCATGCAGGGACGCAGTTCCAGGGGTAACCGAAGCTCAGGAGGGAGCTGGGCAGGAGAGTGACCTGATGTAAGTCACGCTTTAAAGACCACTCTCTTGGGGGTGCGGAGGCTGGAGTGGGCAGGGCAGGAGTGGAAGCAGATCGTTAGGGGAGGCGGGGGGATATGGGACGTGGATGGTCGAGATCTCATCTAGAGGCAGAATCCACAGGACTGGATGTTGGGGGAGAGAGCGAGGAGACCTCCTCCACCTGAGGCCTCGGCAAGGTGAAGCCACTTTTGAGAGATGAGGGCTGCTTGTTTTTGTAAAAGGGGAGGATGCTGGAGGGGTGTAGGAAGAGAGGAGTTTGGAGCATGCCTGTAAAACTCCTAAGAGGAGATACCGAGCAGGCAGTTCACTGAGGATCTCACAGTCTAACACCCCTGACCTTGGACTTATTGCGCAGAGCTGGTACTAAAGGCTGCAAGGGTTTGAATGAGTTCACTGGGGGAGGGCGGGGACAGACAGGAGGGCCCAGGGCAGCCAAGGACCCCACCTGGCCAGGCCAAGAGGTGAGCTCTGCTTTGCAGTCCCGGGACCAGCACTCACCTGCCAGGATCCTTTATAATCCACCAGTTATTGACATCTTTGAAGGGGTAGCAGGTCACCTGCTGCTGGTGGGAGCTGCCTCGGCCATTCTCGTACCTGCATGAAGAAGTCAACATAGAAATGTATGTGGACGTGGGTCAGCAAAGGGGCCCACAGGCCCTTCTCCCGAGGTGTCTGCAAAGGGGGGCAGTTTTCAACAGATACTACCTAGCCAGGTGTTTTGGGGAAATAAAGATGCAACAGGTGGAGAGTCTAAATCTAACAGAGCCGGAGGACGTGAACAGAGCAGCACCAAGGTCAGGCGGAGCTGCACAGCTGATAGCGGAATGCACCAGGGCTGCTGCGCGCCAAGTGCCTCCAACTGCTTCACACACGGAAATGACAAGCTCACCGGTCATCGGGACCCAGGAGCTCAACTTCCTTTTGACCCGCAAACTTCATAGAAAGTGGAAGTTGCTAACATAAGCAAAATTGTGAGAAAAAACATCCGATAATCTTCAAATCAAAATGCTCACTTTCCTTACATCATGGGGTAGGTGTTCTGGTGGGAGTGAAGCCAGCAGGGAATGGGTTTGCCAAAGACGCTCCTCAGAGTGACCTGGGAACCGAAGGCCACCTCCAGTGGCTGGCCTTGGGTGATCCGAGCTAGTCCTCCCTAGGGCAAAAGCAAAGAGTCAGCAAGTGAGAGAGAGAAACAAACCCAAAGTAGCCTTCCTGACGGCCACTCCTCCGTCTGGGGTGATATTCGGGGCAGTGGCAGTTAGTGTTATATAGTTACGATTATCAGTCACATAATCATGTCACATTATGTCATACATCATCATCAGAGCTCCCTCCCTCCGAGTGAGCACTGCCTCGGGGTCCGGCCAGGCACTCGGCCAAGCCTACAGCTTGCACCCTCCCTCATTCCCACAAGCACCCTCTGAGATGACAGCAATTGTGATGTCTTTTTAACAGCAGAGAAAACCGAGACTGGGCTGAGCCAGGAAAGTTACCCAAACCCACAGAACTGGCCCCTGGCGGGCAGGATTGGACAGCAGGCCCACCTGACTTTTGAGTCTGCATTCCTAATCACCTCAATTGGTACATTTTACTATTTTTGCAGAGTTAGTATGAATAAAGAATAAAGAGTTGAGTCTGTAGGACTTTACTTTTAAATGTTCTAAAGCAAGTCAGACTGGAAATCTGACAGCAGACTTCCTTTATTTCCACACCATCAGTATATTCAGAATTAGGTTAGAAATACTGATGTGGATTCCTCATTTCTTGATTTGGTTTTTCCTCTAATGCTCACTTGATGATGTTTATATAAGGAAACTTTGAGCTACAATCATCTTTTTCTAAAGTGGCCAGGGCATCCACTTCTCACCTCCAGGCTGGCTTGGAAGGCACTAGACATGATTTGGTCATGGGGCCCAGAGCGGAAGAGCAGAAGCAGGTGGACGTAGAAGAACAGTAAGTACAGGACGATCGGGACGATCAGTAAAGCCACTGCTCTGGCAAGTAAGTGACAGAACACACAGACCTGCCAGAAAATCCAAGGAAAAGTCACTTCCCACTATGTAGAAAGGCGTGCCCATTTCCAGACGCTGCAGGCTTAGAAAAAGTTGGCGACAGACACCTTCACCTCCCCACAGAGGCATCCATGCAAGATGACGGGCAGGGCTGCCCAGGCCTGTCTGCTTCTGAAGCTTTGAGGATTCAGATTTTTTCACCAAATGCCCCCCGTGACAACGCCTTCTGTCTGCCCCACACCGGCCAGCCTAGCCCAGCACCAGACATAGCACCTACATTTGACAAGGTCTGGTCTCCGATCAGGTGCCAGGCATGGACAGCTGCGACGCCAAGCACGAGCAGGTATGTGAAAACACCCATGTATTTGATGCTGAAAAGACATGATTGAAGTACAGTTAAAATGAGGCTGGAAACACGGGGAGCAGGAGGAGAACATCTCCCAGAACAACAAGTCAAACTCACCCAACGGCGCAGGAACAAGCCACCCCTGTCAGCAGTAGCCAAAGCCACCAGTTCAGAGAGAAAGAACTAGAATGACAACAGAAAAACAATGCAGACACAGATAGGAACAGTTCACACAATATTTCCTAAAGGCCAGAGAAGGTAAACATTTCTCAGAGAAATCTTTCTGGGTTGGCTGGCCATACTGAGCACCAGGTACAGTATAAAAGAATCCCCACCTCCAAAAATACTGGTCCTGGCAGAATTTTTCTTTCTGTCCAGAAAATTTTTCCAGCTAGTTTAAGTTATGTATTTATGAAGTCATGAGCCAAGGGCCAACCCCCAAAATATTCAGTGACCAAAAGATATTTAGCAAGCAACTAACTCAAAATAAAAAGGTATCAGACCATCCCAGGTCAATGAACCATCTAAGATCTTTTTTCTCATTAAGTAGGAAGGATACATCCCATTTTCCATACCTGTGTTTCTGGGAGTTGAAGAACTTCAGGTAAGACAACACAGCCAATAGATTAAAAAATATTAACATTGACTCCAGAAGCATTAGCCTTGACTGAGTGATCAGAGCGTTCTCTGTTACAAAGATGAAAAACGTGTCAGTGCTAAGGGAGCAAGGGCAAACGCATGCAAGTGAAAATTATTCACAGAAAAGGTGTCCTCATCTCATACCGAGGGGAAGGTGTATGTAACTAAGACACACAGCAGCACTCCAGAGTGCCACAGATGTGAAGATGGCAAGTTTAGAAACGGGGTGGGTAGACCTGTGGCTCACTCTGGAAAGTGTGGTGCTGATAACATCAAGACCACGGGTTTGGATCCCATATAGGGATGGCCGGTTATCTCACTGCACCAAGTCAAGGGTTAAGATCCCCTTACCAGTCATCTTTAAAAAAAAAAAAAAGAAAGAAACGGGGTGGCTACAGGGGACGATCTCCAGAGCCATGAAGGCAAACTCTTGGGTCTGAATTACACTTGCCACACCTAACTGTGTGAACTAGGGCAAGTCACTTAACTCTTCTGAGTCTTTATTTTCCTTATTTGCAAAAGACTGACTTTGTAGGACCTCCGTGAATGTTAAAACATTATAGAAGCATGGGGCCTCAAACAGAAATGCCACTCAATAAATAGTATCTCTTTGTATTGTCCAGTCTAACTTTTCATCTGATTTAACTTCATCTGTTCATAAACCTGAGATGAAAGATCCTTTCTGAAAATGATCCACTAATTTATGAGTCCATCTCAACTGGCCAAGGCCTGGGAAGTGGTGGAATGGGGAGACGTTTTTATTTAGTGACAAACTTGGTTGGAGATGGAGGTGCTCATGGTGGAAGTGTACCTTGGAGCACTGTCTGGGCAGCCCCCCATTTTTAAAAAATTGTATTTATTTATTTAGTTTTAAAATTTACTTATTATTATAATTCTTTTACATTCAAAAATGTCATTGTGGAGCAGTGGGAGGAGGAGCAGGGGATAGGAGGATGGAGGTCAGGGCTGGCCCACCACAGGATCCTTTACTGGCCTAGTTGCAGAGGGCAGGCGGCGGGGGCATGGCCGAGGCCCTCAGCACCCCCAACCCCAGCTTGGGGGCCATGAGCCTCTTTTACATGGCCACAATACCACTACTGATCACGTACAATCACCTAGTTCAGCCATGCCACAGCCATGAGGTCACCCTGGGAGCAGGTGACTTGCAGAGTCAAGTCTGGATGAACCAGATGCACTTCCTAGTGCAGCTGTTCAGTAAACTCAAGTGCTCTCCTGGGCCCCACACTGAAACATAACAAAGACCAGTACTAGGTTCTTCCCTGAGGGATACCAAGAGTAGGCAGGGGCCCAGTTCTTACCGATAAGCATCAACAGAGCTGCTCCCATGGCGGCACAATGAGAAAAGTGGAGCTCTGACACTATCTGGTAGGCCATGGGGACCGATAAAGCCCCTGCGAGTGCAGGCAGCAGGCGCAAGGACCACACAGGCACATTGCTACTGTATTCTGGAAAAGCAACCACATGGCAGAGCTGAGAGCACTGTGCACACACTATCTTAATATGCTGCAAGTGTGTTTTCAAACAGAGTTTCGTGTTCATAGACTCTAACATGCAAATTTACAAAACTGGGGCCCCTTCAGCAACTGAGTATGCAAACTATGGGTAAAGGCTTTGAAATTAGTTTTACAGAGTCGAAGAACCAGCTCTCACTAAGCACAGGTATTATGACTAGGGATTCTGAGATTAATGTTTTACTTATTTATTAATTTACCCAGACTATTTCTAAAAACAGTGTTGCAACATACAAAATTTACATGGACAAAAAATAATAGCAATGCAATGCAATATATGTACTAAAAACTAGGAATAAAATAAGTACTGTAGGGCCGGCCTGATGGCGCACTCGGTAGAGTGCGGCGCTTGGGAGCACGGCGGCGCTCCAGCCAAGGGTTCGGATCCCATATAGAGACCGGTCCGCTCACTGGTTGAGCACGGTGTGGGTGCGACACTGAGGGTTGCGATCCCGTTGCCGGTCGCAGTACGGGCGCGACACCAAGGGTTGCGATCCCATTACCGGTCACGAAAAAAGACAAAAAAAAAGGAAAAAAAAATAAAATAAAATAAGTACTGTAACACTAAGATTTTTACCAGACTTTTCAAAAGTCTTTCATGTATACCCAGATAATTTATTACACCCTGAACTCAGATTAATAAACTGCAGTTGTTAATCCCTATGAAAGCCACTCTTTCTCCATTCCAACATGTGCACATTTTAATAGAGGAAATGAAAATTATCTTTTACCTGCTCCAATTCTGTTCCATAAAAAGTTACCATCAAATCCTCCTAAATACCCTAAAATAGAAGATTAATCAATAACCATCCCATTCAGCAAATATTTCTGGAGTCCTGTGGCAGGCAACAAGGAAACAAGATAAATTAATAATAAGACAAAGTTTCTGCCCTCAAGAAATTTCACTGGTAAGTTTTAAATGTATGTGACAGCCTGAAAGGCAATGGCCACTTCTCTTACTAATGAACCTTACCTCCTAAGGCCAGCAGCATGTGGCCAAATGGTGGTCCACTGTCATCCAAAAAGAAGATCCGTTTCATGTAAAAGGAGATGTATTGCCCATAATATACCTCATCAAAACTGAGAAAAAAACAACAAACCCAACATTATATTCAAGTAGAAACATTAACTGTAATCAAAAGTTGAGAGGATAAATGTACATGTGTTTCCAAATGTGTGAGCGAACAGCAAAGGTCAGATCTTTACTCCGACTGTATCCCATCCCCCAGTATCTATACGGCATCCTCCATGCATAGGGACAAGGTGGAAAATTCACCAAGAACAGTTGGCACTCAGGATGCTTGCCCCATACAGATTCTACTTCTCTGACTAGTTTTTGATGATTTAGGTGCGCACTACCAGCCAATCTACTGAAATACTCCATGGGAAGGGCTAACTGCCCTCCCCTGGGGACCACCAGCATGGGTCTGTGGCTACAAGTCGGAATCAGACCTGGTGACCCAAATAAACAGTTGTAGGTGGGAAAGGAAGACATGTAGGAATAATATGCAATAAAATGTTTTCAGACAATTGAGAAAATCCGATGATACCGAGGAACTGCTGTCAATTTCTTAGGTGTGATGCTATAGTGGTTATGTGATTTTTCTTTTTAAGAATCTTCATCTTGGGCCGGCCCAGTGGCGCACTGGAGAGTGCACCGCTTGGGAGTGCGGCGGCGCTCCCGCCGAGGGTTCGGATCCCATGTGGAGACCGGTTCCCGCTCACTGGCTGAGCGCGGTGCGGGCGCAACACCAAGGGTTGCGATCCCGTTGCCGGTCAGTAAAAAAGGAAAAAAAAAAAAAAAGAATCTTCATCTTGGGCCGGCCCAGTGGCGCACTGGAGAGTGCACCGCTTGGGAGTGCGGCGGCGCTCCCGCCGAGGGTTCGGATCCCATGTGGAGACCGGTTCCCGCTCACTGGCTGAGCGCGGTGCGGGCGCAACACCAAGGGTTGCGATCCCGTTGCCGGTCAGTAAAAAAGGAAAAAAAAAAAAAAAGAATCTTCATCTTGGGCCGGCCCAGTGGCGCACTGGAGAGTGCACCGCTTGGGAGTGCGGCGGCGCTCCCGCCGAGGGTTCGGATCCCATGTGGAGACCGGTTCCCGCTCACTGGCTGAGCGCGGTGCGGGCGCAACACCAAGGGTTGCGATCCCGTTGCCGGTCAGTAAAAAAGGAAAAAAAAAAAAAAAGAATCTTCATCTTTTAGAAATATATACTGAATTACTAATGAATGAAATACAATGTCTAGGATTTGTTCAAAGTAACCCAGTGCAGGGAGGGGGCTGGCTGTGAACTGATAATTTTATTTTTAATTTTTGGCAGCTGGCTGGTACAGGGATCTGAACCCTTCACCTTGGTGTTACCAGCACCATATTCTACCAAGTGAGCTAACTGGCCAGCCTGAACTGATAATTGTTGAAGCTAGGTGATGAATACTCTGGTGGTGGGGGATCATTATACTATTCTCCCTACTTTTGTACATGTTTGATGTTTTCTGTAATAAAAAGTTGAACAAAAAAGAACATATATATCTATCAGTTAATAAACAGCCCTTCAATAACAACAGCAATCATTTCCGGTTATGAAAAAATAACACACTGAGCTCTCTAAACAAGGAAGGCTCACTTCCAAGTCCATCAGTACTCTGCCTTCCAAATTTTAAAATGGTTACCTAAGGCTGGTAACCACATTTTCCTCTACAGCACCTGTTTTTAAGGGGCCAAGTTTTATTGGCTACAAACCTATGGGGCAACCAAAAGGGTGCATCCTGCAGGGACTGTCCTGAGGATAAACGGGTCTCTCCTCTCACTGCCAAAAACATCCATCACCAAGAACCCAAGAATTACACTCTCCCATTTATGCTGTTTAAAAAGGCACGTCCTGTCACAAATTATAATTTTTTCTGGATTCACCCCAGAAATGAAGTTGTTTGGCTTACACCACAGCCCGAGGATAGGTGAGTTGCCACAGTCGGCTCAGTAACCCCACCCCAGTCAGAGCCACAAGGTTCAAGTTGATGTCAGTTGTCACCACTACAGGGCGCTTCAAAAAGCCCAACATCTTGCACAAAAGCAGGCTTAGGGGGATGCCCTGGGAAGGAAGGAAAGAATTGTCATCAATAAGGGGAGGCAACCCTGAAGAGCTCACGAGAGGCTACACACAGGATTCCAAACCACCCTGGCCCCCAGCGCAGGGAGCATCCCTCCTGGAAGGTTCCTGCGCCTTCCGCACAAAGGCCGGGGTGCAGGCATTTGGGTAGGAGGAGGGGCACTAGCAGTCAACCCGGGGCGGTGGGGGGGTTCATGAACCTCAAGACTGGACATTCCCTCACTTCACCAGCTCATCCCACAAACGCCTGCCGGGCACCTCCTGGGCGCGAGGCCGCTGTTAACGCACGACGGGCGGTGCGACCGCGGCCCCCCGCGCCGGCCGCCCCTCCTCTCTTCCTGCGCCCCCTTTCTTGCCTGGAGGGTGGAGCACTGTCCCCGGACGCGCCATTCCCTGCCCGAGGCTGGCCTTCCCTGGAGCTTCTCTGGAGGCTGCGCGGGGCCTGCGGCGCCCCTTCCCGCCCCCGGGCCACACGTTCCCTGGACGGCCCCTCCGTGCCTCCGTGAGGTGTCCCGGAGCCCACTCCCGGCTCGGCCGTCCCGCGCTGACAGATCCTCCCGAGCCCCGGC